AAAAGCACGGGCTTTTATACTAAGAGTATGAAAGCATCACGTGACAAAAAATAAACCAATTAGATGGATTTAATCATAACAAAGTGTAAAACAAAATAATATTATGTAAATCGCATTACAGAATATAATATAATTAAAAATATAAAAATAAACAGGACAATTACTACAAAAAATAATCAAAACAAAACACGAGTGGGAATAAGGTAAAAGTAATAAATAGAGGTTGTCAATGTCTGCTATAGACAGGCAAGGACAGATGGCATCATAGACAAACTAGAAGACATGTCTTCTGGATTGTCTATGATGGCATTAACATAAGAAAAGCGTTCATTAATGCCAGAAGGGTGAACAGTGCAAAGTTTGGATACGAGGGGCATTTCATGTCGTTTGCGGCTATCGTTGCTTCCAGAAATGGGACAGAGGGCTCGAATTAACATATCTGAAACACTGTGATTGCCATTATTAAAATGTCTGGCAAGAGGTTGGTTAGCGTCATTGCCAATAACTGCACGCCGATGCTCACCAAACCTTGTCCTTAAACATCTTCCAGTTTCCCCAATGTAAAGCATGCCACATCTGCTGCAAGAGATGCAGTAGATGCAGATGAGATGGGAGGAGGCGCACGTGAAATGGTGCTTGATGTGAAATTCAGATTTTGGTGCCGAAACAATAGTGGTGGAATCTATAAAATCACAGGTTTTACATTTCGACGACAGGCAAGGAAAAGTGCCTATCTGTGACGTCGAAGCCTGTGCTAACGAGTTATGGGCACGGGTTTCACGGATATTTTTGCTGTGTCGAAAAGAGACTAAGGGGTTATCGGAGAAAATGGAAGATGTTTCAGGGTCGTTTTTCAAAATGTGGAAATTGTTGTTGATGACATCTTTAACTTTGAAATTGAAAGGATCATAGTTTAATACTAAGTGGATGTTGTTGCCTGTGACATTAGACACAGGGTCTGTGAGGGTGTCAGAACGGGGAATTTGGGAGGCCTTCGAAAATGCAGTGTCTAATAGGGAGGTAGGATAACCATGCTGGATAAAAAAGTGTCTCATCTCCAGACTTTTGGCCTGAAAATCTTCGTCTTCACTGCAGATGCGGCGAAGACGAAGGAACTGAGAGAAGGGAATCGACCTTTTGGTGTGGTTGGGGTGGGAAGAGGAAAATAGAAGATAGCTATGGGAGTCAGTGGGCTTGTAGAACACAGAAGTAGATAGTAAGTTACCATTGATTGATACAAGGATATTCTAAGAATGATACACTGGTCTCACTGATCTCCCATGTGAACTGGAATGCTGGATGAAAATTATTAACAAAGTTAATAAAGCGTTCCAAGACAGTCATCTATGTACCTACCAAGGTAATCAGGGATGGGATCAGTGTACTGTTCGAAGATTTGTTTTTCCACAAAACCAACAAACAAATTAGCATGGTTGGGTCCCATTTTAGTTCCCATTGCTACACCATTATCTGTTGGTAATGCTTTAATTTTGATTTTGATTTTAATTGATTGATTTTGATTGATTTTTTTCGTTTTCCAAACCATCTATTAAATACAATCATATTTCATTATCACTAATGATGTCTCACCTGCTAGTCCAGCTGGATTTTTTTACCTCAGTATAGTTACCCCGGCTACCAGGCTCGGTATTATATCCCACTAGATATCTCCGCTGTATATTTTTACAGGATTAGCTACCCCAGTTGAGTATGATATCTCACTAACATACTCATTTTGATTTTGATTTTAATTTTGATTTTGATTTTTTTAAATTTTAATTTTGATTTTGATTTTGATTGCATCTCGTGTCACTAAAGCTTGTTATGAACACAGTCGGCGTTTGATGCGCATTACCATTGATTCTATGTCACAGCATATTCAGACTTATTTAGATTCCGGGATTTCACATGTTAAATCCATTTTGTCTAGCTCATGTCCTTCCATTTTAAGAAAGGATATCATACAATTCATTCGCTTGTTGAATTCTAGACTTTACTCGTTCCTCGATATCAACACAGAACTTGCTTTGTCATAACGAAACAAGAACGGCGTGAAATATATGGCGTCTTATGTGCCAGGCTTCGACGAAGAAAGGTTTGCGAGCACATGCAGTCAATCGAAATTTCATCTGTTCGATTTGCTTCAATGTCCTTAAAGACCCGGTTCTGTGGCCGAGAAACCAACATTGTTTCTGCCGTTCTTGTATTACGAAACACCTCGAGAATTCACGAAGATGCCCTACGTGTGCGGACGTACTGACTGTAGCGACTTTGGCCGAAGCAAGCAGAATCATGTTATGGTAAAAGATATTTTAAATGAACTGGATATTCATTGCGTTCACAAGAACAGGGGTTGTCAAGATGTCGTACAATTACAACATCTTGAACGTCACGAGGCTACATGCTGATTTACACCAGTCGTTTGTTCAAACCAAGGCTGTGGTGTAACTGTAAACAAGCGTGATCTTATTCACCACGAAAGCGAAATTTGTGAGTTTAGAAAGCTGAAGTGTCACTCGTGTGGAGAAATGACAAAAACGCTGGCGGATATGGAGAAAAAAATTGTAAATCTGGAGAAGAATATGGTGACGAATATAACAATGGAAACAAAAATGGCGAATGTTGAGACGAAAGTGGCGAATGTTGAGGCGAAAGCGGCGAATGTTGAGAGGAAAATGGCGATTATGGAGACAAACATGAAGTGTGGTATGGCTGATATAAAAACAGATATGGAAGGAAAACTCGAAACAGTGAATAATGAGGTGAAAGGATTGAAAACAGCTTTGATTGAAGGTTTTGATGAAATGAAGGACGTTCTTGTCAAGAAGAATACCCCAGAAAAAGAAGACGTACAGCTAGTGGTGATAAGGAAAATATATTATATAATAACTACAGTGAAACACGCAATTTGATTGGTCAACAGCCGTGCAGGATCAGACAATCCTGCACGGGAAATTCTGAACAGAAATTCGTGGACATAATTTTACAAATATACTCGCATTGTAAAGTTTCATTGTACGATACCTTTCGACTTTGAAGTAAGTTTCCAATTATTGAGACGTTGGTTTAGTTGTATGAATAAATTTCTGATCAATACATTGCTATTCAGCAAGTAGCAACGCGTAGCGTTGAAATTCATCAGACCATGGCATGCAAGTACAACATCTGTCGCTTCAAAGTTGATCAAACGCTTCTCACATATTCAGGTCGAGAATCTTGAAAACTACTTTGGCACTCTGTTTAGCAGGTTTTCCATTTCAAATTTCGTATATTTTTTCGAAAAAGTCCCTGTATTTTCGCTGTATATTTTCGCGAATTTGCGATCAAGTTCTGTTCACATATGTTGTTGTTTTCAATAGCGTGGAGTAGCGATTCTCTGATTGGTTAATTCACGAATGTTGTGAGAACTGCACATTTCATCAGTAATTTTAAACAAGTTAAGCGTCGTTTCACTGTAGTAATTTTATAAAACAATTACCAAATGGTTTTCCCGTGCAGGATAGCATGATCCATGCACTTGGGGTGTTGCTCGCCTTTCGGAAAGCGTAAAAATGCACTCGCGTACGGCTCGTGTATTTTTACGCTTTCCGAAAGTCTCGCAACATCCCGCGTGCATAGATCACGCAATCCTGCACGGAAAACCATTCGGTATTCCTTTAATTGTTGCTGGAGGTTTAGGAACTGACTCGGTAGAGATGTTTAACTGGCGTCAAAGAACATGGTCGCCATTACAATCCTTGCCAGGGAAGCGTTGTGGGGCAACCTCATTTGTTTACAGCAATCATGTGACAATTGCTGGAGGTTACTGTTCTGGGTGTGTCTGTGTCAATGATATGATCAGAATGAATATCAACCCAAACCCTGATCTTTCAACCCACTGGAGTGAGTGTCCTGTTAAACTTCCAGCTAAGTTGGCATTCCACAGCAGTGTGCTGTATAATAATTGTTTGATAGTCACTGATGGTTTTGATGGAACTGCTGATTGTGTTCATGAAGTGCAGCTGGTTCCTCCATATACCGCGAAGATCTTAACAAAAATGCCAGAACCGAGAATGTATCACTGTATGGAAATATTTGTGTGATAATGTGTTGATTGTTGGTGGCTCTTACCAAGAAAGCCTCAGCAGTGTCGTACTGTATGATATAAAGAAGAATGAATGTAAACAGTTGGCACCACTGCCGTATGAAGTGAGTGAGATGGCAACTGTGAGATGGAGAGATAACATCGTTGTTATAGGCGGCGTTGACAAACGTGGCAAAGCATTAGATACAGTTATCATTTACAATGTCAAGACTGAAGAAAGTCTTGTGAATATGATATTTGTATCATATTCACCTGAGTACACTACACCAACACAGAAAAAATTCATATTACTAGAATACATTGGTATTGAAGGAACTAGATTCTGTTCCGAAATATCACTTACTCGAACCGTCCTGACCGCGTAGCTCAGTTGGAAGAGCATTGGGCTAGTATTCCAAAGGTCGTCGGTTCAAATCCCACCGTGGCCGGGCATATTTTTCAAGCTCGCCCGGTGTGGATATGCACTCAGAGTAACACCACAAATATCAAACAAGATTAGTTACTGAATTTGGATTTAAGGCACAGTGGCCAATGTGTTTGGCGCATGAGCAATGTGCATCTTCCAAAGCATGTTTGCTTGAAACCCAGCACGATTAGGTCAGTGAATTTGGATTTACGGCAATGTGGGTGATGTGTTTGGCGTATCAGAGCAGTGCATCCCGAAATTGTATGATTGCTTGTGACCGAGCACGAGTAGCTATTGCATTTTGATTTAAGGCACAGTGGCCAATGAATTTGGCGTATGAGAGACATGCATGTAGCAATGCATGATTGCTTAAGACCGAGCACGAATAGCTACTGACTTTGGATTTTAAACGTTGCCAATGTGTTTGGCGTATACGAGAAGTTCATCTCACAATTGCACGCTTGCTGGCGACCGAAAACGGGTCGCTACTGAATTTGGATTTTAAAACAAAGTTGCTCATATGTTTTGGCGTATGAGCGAGGTGCATGTCGCAATTACATGATTGCTTGAGACCGAGCACGAGTAGCTACTGAATTTGGATTTTACATAAATTGGCCAATGTGTTTGGCGTATGAGAGACGTGCATCTCGCAATTACATGATTGCTGGCGAAGGAGCACGAGTAGCTACTGAATTTGGAGTTTAAAACAACTTTGCCAATGTGGTTGGCGTATGAGAGGGGTGCATTTCGCAATGCATGATTATACTTGCGACCGAGCACGATTCGTTACTGAATTTGGTTTTATGGTACCGTGACCAATGTGTTTGGCGTATCAGCAATGTGCATCTTCCAATGCAGGTGTGCTTCAAACCCAGCATGATTAGCTCAGTGCATTTGGATTTAAGGCAATGTGGCCAACGACAATGTGTTTGGCGTATACGAAAAGAGCATCTCGCAATTGTATGATTGCTTGTTACCGAGCACGAGTAGCTACTGAATTTGGCTTTAAGGCAAAGTGGCCAATGAGTTTGGCGTATGGGCGAAGGGCATCTCGCAATTGTATGATTGCTTGTGACCGAGTAAGAGTCGCTACTGACTTAGGATTGGAAAAAACAGGTTCAGGGTTTCGCGAATGAGAGGCTTGCCTTTTACAATACATGATTGCTTGGGACGAACCATGGCAGCCATTGAATTGGAATTTGGAAATCATTTGTCAATGAGTTTAGTGCATGCGCGGGAGCGGCGTCTCGCAGTTACGGAATTTGTTTAGTGGTCAGTTGCTCATATGTTTGGGCAAGCAGAGACATGCATCTCCCAATAGACCCAATCCATGATTGCTTGGGATTGAGCACGAACATTGCAAATGCAAGAGGTGCATCTCGCAATACATGATTGCTTGAGACCGAGCGCACGCGCTTACTGCATTTGGATTGGACAGACAAGGGCCAATGTTTTGGCGATTCAGAACAGTATACCTTCCTTGCCATACGCGAATCACCCAATTTTTCGGCAATATATGTTTTTCGAGTGTGTATGAAATTACTGATCTTGTGTTTGCGCTCGTTCGCTGGTTTTCGTTTGCATTTCTTGGGTTCTTTTTTCTTTCTTGGCTGGTGGGGGTCAACTTTCCCAGGGCTATCTAAAGCTCTTTGTGTTCGACTTTAGCAGTTGTGCCGGGACTGTTGCCCTTTTCTGGTCCTTCCGAGGGGTGCTTTGGGGATTTACTTCTCTGTTCATCTTTTCTCTCGCCACTCGCTACACTTTGTTCCGTTAGCAGCTTCTGAGCGTCTTGTGAAGCGAGTCATTGGGTGGAAGTTTCTCCCGGGGACAAGACCTGTGGTATCAGTTCCGGGTTATTCTCTGCGTTCATTGTCGCTTGACCATACTAGTCCACCTATCGCTTTTCACTTGCACTTTTTTTTCATACTGTCCATTGCCGGGATTGTTTTCTTAATAGATTATAGTTTGGTTTGTGTGTGTGGCACATGTGAATCGGCGGGGTTGTAGGGTATTTGAGCAGGGGGGTTGGTATATGAGAATGGCGGCTTGGGTATATGAGAATGGGAGTTTGGGTATATGAGAATGGGGGTTTGGTATATGAGAATGGGGGTTTGGGTACATGAGAATGGGGGTTTCGGTATATGGGGGGAGATATATATAATAATCTTTAATGAGGAAAGCTTTGTCACATATGACGTGATTTTCACAAAGGTCCTACACATAGGGAACATTATATATACAAATAACCATGCAATTATAAAAATCTAAAACTAGTTAAAAGTCAAAAGTCTAAAACTGTAAGTCACGATGTTCTAAGCAGGCTCTAGGTTAAAAGTTTAGAAAAAAGATTTCTCTTAAAGGACACTAGTGTTGGAGCATTCCTTGTATCACTGTCTAAATCATTCCAGTCTTTGATTGCTTGATAGTTAATGCGTTGTTTCCCCCAATTGCGTTTGACTTTAGGTAGCCTTATTGTGTCCTTATTTCGAGTGTTATGACTGTGAATCTGACTACATTTAAGAATGTCTAGAGAATGCTCCGTAAGACCATTAACACACTTCCAGATATGAATGCAGCGATGGAAATTCCTGCGTCGACGTAAATCGAGCCATTTCAGGGCTGACAGCGCGTCAGTTGCCGATGAGTACAAAGGTCTATCTAATATTATCTTCGCAGCCTTGTTCTGTAGTACTTGGAGCTCACCCATCAAAACAAGATTGTCCTTGTCCCCCCAGACCAAGTCAACATAGTCAAAAATTGGTAAGACTAAACTATTGTAGAAAAGCAGGCGAGCTTGGTGGGGCAACAAATGCTTAATTCTGCGTAAGAGACCCAGGTTCTTGTTTATCTTAGACGAGATATATTCAATGTGATCAGTCCAGGTAAAATTTGTAGACAGCATTACTCCCAAGTATTTAAAGCTAGATACAGTATTAATATCAGTATCAAAAATAGATAATGATAACGAGGAGACATTCCCGAGCTTCCTGTTACTGCCTATTATCATTGATTTAGTCTTGTCAAGGTTCAGGGTGAGCTTGTTTTCACGAAGCCAGTGAGCAACCCTTAGGAGATCCTCATTTAGCTTATCTTCAAGCAGCCGTGGATCTTTGGAAAAGTAGTACAAGACCGTGTCATCAGCATACAGCGTTACTTCCGAGTTTATAACAGCATCAGGTAGGTTGTTTATATAAACCACGAAAAGCAGCGGACCCAGGATGCTTCCTTGAGGCACACCGACAGTTACTGAGAGGGCATCAGATAATTCATTGCCACAGGAGGTTCGCTGTTTCCGATTACTAAGATAGGATTCAAACCACTTGATAGAACTGGGCGAAACCCCAATTGCCGATAATTTAGACAGCAAGATACAGTGGTCCACAGTGTCAAAAGCCTTAGCCAGGTCCAAGAACACTGCGCCACAGAGGTTTCCCTGCTCCATGTTTAGTAAGACCTCGTCAGCAAAATTAGATAAAGCTGTAGTGGTAGAATACTTAGGACGAAAGCCGAACTGTTTACTGGAGAGTAGATCTTGTGCGTTGAGGAATTTGTAAAACTGAGAATGAACAACTTTTTCCATAATCTTGCTGAGTGTCGGCAGGATTGAGATGGGACGATAATTAGTTGGATTTGTCCGGTCGCCACATTTAAATAAAGCGCTTACTTTAGAGCACTTCCATATGTCAGGAAATTTACCGGAACTAATTGACAGATTCAATAACCGTGTAACCGAGCGACAAATCGCACGTGCACCATATTTCAAGAGTCTAGCGCTAATAAAATCCAGCCCAACTGCTTTGTTTGTCTTGAGGGACAGCAAGTGATTGAGCACAGTGTCTTCGTCAACATGGTTTAATTGAAAGACGGGGGTCGGTTGTGACATGACGGGCGTTGACGATACGACAGCAACTGCAGAATATATTTTATCAGCCAGAGTTTTCCCGATTGAGGTGAAATGAGAATTCATTGCAGCAGCAATGAAAGATGGAGTAGTGTGTTGAACACCTTCCGTCACGATGCACTGCGGACTTGAGGATTTAACATTACGCGATGAAGCCTCGTTGACAGCTTTCCAAATCTTTCCAGAATCCCCTTTCGCTTCATTAATCAGGTCGCAATAGTACTTAGATTTTGCAGACTTGATTTCACGGTTGACCAGGTTTTTTAGGCTCCTGTATCTAGCCCAGTGATGAACAGAATTCGTTTTAACAGCTCTACGATGGTGAAAGTCGCGGTCTTTCATTAACTCATTGATTTTATTGTTAATCCAAGGTATAGGAACACCCCTCACCCTACGTTTTTTTACAGGGGCGTGTGAATCAGCAACTTCTGTAAACAACGTATTCCAACTAAGCACTGCATTGTCAATATCGTCCTCGTTTTCAATAACATGCCAAGGCACATTATTGAGATCCGCGACAAAGCTGTTTGTATTTAAATTCTTGTATGAGCGGTATTCGATTGTTTTAGGCTGGGCCTTTGTTATTCCAGACTTTAGAACACAATAGACGAGATAGTGATCACTTAGCGAAACCGAAACAACACCAGAGTCAGTGATGCGATGATCATTGTTCACTAAAATCACATCTACAAGGGTACGAGTGGTTTCCGTCACACGAGTTGCGTCGGTGATGAGCTGTGTGAGGTCAAAAACCCGCATGAATTTCAATAGCTCCTTTTTCTCTTTGTTCTTGGAATGCAGAAGCATATTAGCATTAAAGTCACCGAGCAACACAAGATCGCATTTATCCAACTTGATGTTTTCCATACAGCTATTAAAATTCGAAATAAAACCCGAAAAGTCTACATTCGGTGCTCTATATACGCAAGAAATCAAAGTCGATCTACATTTTGCACGGGTAATTTCAATCCATAAGCACTCGTGTTCAAGTGAGTGGAGATCATTTCTCACTTGAAAAGGCAATCCCTCCCGTACATAGATCGCAACGCCGCCATAACCCTTGTTAGTCTCTGCCCTGTCCTTTCGAACACATGTGAAGCCTGGGAGAGCTATCTCAGAGTCTTCAATGGAATGATTAAGCCATGTTTCGCTCAGAGTAAGAACATCAAAAGTCTTCGTGTCAAAACCCTCCAGACGTAACGAGTCGGTTTTATGCCGAAGGCTTCGAATATTTAAATGTGCAATCTTCAACCCACGGCTCTTCCTAATGTGGTCCAAACTACGATATCCAGGGCCAGGATTTTGCGAAATATCCCCGCCCAACAAAATAAGGCAAGATGCGATCAAAGTGGCCTTTAGCAGATGACAACCGACCTTGGCTTTTACAGATGGCGGTGTCGAAGGTATTTGGCGAGAATGGCGACTAATACCAGGCGTATTTCTTGTAGGATAAACCCTTCGGTGGGCATTTAAGTCAGTCGTCAATACCTGGTGAGCATCAGGAATGATATCATGAGGCTTGAAAGGTTTCAAATGAAGCACAAGATATAAGAATATTACTAAAACGACAGACCGACTAAATGAACCGACCGCCATTATGTGCATATACTTGGGAGCGAGTATAGTAACTGAACTGCGGAGGAATTCATTTCCGTGCTTCATTTGGAAACAATGGACCTTCCTTTTCCCCAATGCTTAATCAGTGATCCGTGGCGGAATGGCCATTTGGATATTTTACTATTCAAATTGGCCAAACACGCCACGGAAGCTGATTAACTAATGAATTTGAGTAATTAACGTTGTTTTATGAATAAATAATGATGTACAATGCATAAAACCCTAGTTTACAGGTTGTAACTGCTCTTTCTGTGCTGATCGCCAAGACAGAGAAAGTGCAAGATAAAGAAATTAGGACCGGAAAAGGGGGCGGGGGGGGGCGAGAAGGAGGGGGCTGCGTCAGGGTGTTGTTTACTCTTGTGTGTTGTAAAAACGCCCACCCTCCCACCCTTCTGTTTCCCATCCTTGTGGCTTTCTGCTGCGGATCCATTTCCGTGTTTCATTTGGAAACAATGGACCTTCCTTTTCCCCAATGCTTAATCAGTGATCCGTGGCGGAATGGCCATTTGGATATTTTACTATTGTCGTTCTGATGTCAGAGATAAGACCACTGAGCTGTATAATAACTGGAGGACCTGCTCCTATACTTCGTTCAGTCAACAAAGTGTCCGCAAAAACATGGCGGATTTTGAGTGAAAATGACGCCATTTCCATGACAACACTTACTTTATTTTCATGATAGGTACCACTGACCAGGCTCAATTCTGAGCCCACTGCCGTTTTCACACACCCCTGGTTTTTACAAAACATTTTTGCCGATAATATAGTTCTCGACTTCTCGTTGTTTTGAATCCTTTTTTAAAATGTTTTCGAGATAAACTTTCTGCCTTTGACCATTTGGTCAAAGATATCCAAGTCGTACGTGTTTAATCTCGCCCGTGAAAGACGACAAACTAATTTTAAAAACTCAAGAAATGTGGGAAAAGACGATATTTGAAATATATGGATTTACACTCGGATTTACAAAGGTAAAAAACGTATTTTCATATTCAATTTTATTTAGACTTTTATATCTTATTTGACATCAACTATCAGACGTATCTTTTAAAAGAGGGAATTAGGTTTTGTGTTATGCACCACTTAATTTTATGTATAAGCTGGGGGTGCTGGAAGCTGTCAGCTGATCTGGGAAGGTGGTTTCTACCTAGCTTTCTTGCATGGTTGGGGATACTTCTTGATTTTTGTGTCATATAAATAGTAATATAGAGGCTTGAGATAAATCACTTTTCCCTAAGCTGAGGTAATAAGGTTTAGCTGAGGTGTGTGCCAAGGCATTACATGTGTCAGTGTGATCGCACCTCATTCCCAGGATGGCCTGTTTTCTTACAAGTTTTCTCAGTAAATATCACTCTGAATCAACAATGTACTTTATAAGTACACTTATGGTTCTGATACCCACTGGTTTAAGCTGAGGAGTATGTTAGGTCACATTCTTTTGTTTACCTTGATCATATGCTATAATTATGTTACTGGTGGATTCTTGTACAACCTGTATAATTAATCTATTCTTTTTTATTGCAGATTTATTCCACAATGACACACTCCTTTGTGGGTGGCAAAATACAGTACCATACAGTTTGGAAACTGAACATACTGTATTTTACATGCTTCCAGAAATTATGTCACCTTGGCTATAGGCTATAGGCTATAGAGTAATTTTCATGATTGAGACATGCATTGGACTAAAACTCATGCCACATACATGAAAACAAGGCTCCATAGCCAAAGTGACATACATTCTGGAAGGGTGTATTTGACTTTTTGTAAAATTATTAGCAGTAAACAATTTAAAAAACAAAAATGTATAATTTTAATTGCTATAAAACTTATTTACACTTCAATAAAATTATAATAATCATATAATTATTTATTAATTATAATAATTGTTATGCATGGTATTGTAATTATAACTTCATTTTGTAATTGTTCTGCATGTTCTTCTGCATGTTGATGCCTGTGCCATCTCTTTTGCATATTAAACAGATCATTTCTGCAAAAAAAAAAGACGACATTATCATGATACATTATACATCTTTACACCACAAAATATCATATACACATATGTTAACCCTTCAAGTGGCAATGTGTTTTGATGTGCCTCACTGTATTATTTTTGCCTTACTGTATTATGTCAGACAATTTTACTAGTCCATTGATCCGAGCTTATAAATTAAGTGTCGTGTTTTCATATTCAGCAATGCAATTACATTCCCAACTAACTGCTAAAATATGTCAAACTATTATTAGCAAATTTTGTCATAATTTCTCACAGAGCAATCGGACATCACCACTTCCAAACTATGACATCATATACTATGTAAACTACATAGTTTTATATAGTTCTGAACAGACAATGGTAAAATGTTATCTATTTTTTAAGACTCTTCCCTTGGTGAGTAAAACATCTGGATTTAGTCTCACCGATAGAGTAAAATAAAACAGGGACTGTGGAGCCTGTTTAAAAAGGGTGGGCAGGATAGCATGGGAGCTAATCCACACAGGCAGGTGCTGTCCAGACTTTATCCGGTAGTTTTTATTATCCACTGAAAAAGTGGGGGGGGGGGAGCATGCCCCCCCTGTTCTGCAGTCCGGCCGTCCCAGTAAGAAAGTAGCTAGGGTTCATTTGGGTACATAATTTTGCAGCTTAATGGGCTGACCGATATATCTCAGGGGCTGCTCATTGGCAGATAGTGTATTAAATTAACCCACTGCAAGGCAGCAGTGAGCATGAACAGTCTCCTCTTAAAATCATCTGGCATTAGACAGACAGAGTAAAACAATAAAGACAGCTAGTCTTTTATATAGGGCTCATCAGAACAGGGCACATTGTCAAATGTAGGTGGGCCTCCTCTACTCTGGTCTTGTGCTATCTATATATATTAATTCTGCATTATGATGGGCAAGTATATAAATTTCATACCATATTAAACCTTTATGAACATGTAAACAACCACAATTTATACAAGTAATTAAAAACTGGCAGTCTCTGTCTGGCAATAAAACCACAAAGGCCAGTGCTGACACTGAAAACAACATAATTTCATGTAGTACACAATATTTAATCATTAACAATATTGTGAATATATTCCTGTATATATTAATAGGATGATGAGTTTTTGACATAATATATGAAGAGTCTAGTGACCGACTCAGAGTCTCAGACTAGCTAGTCGTCTAGAAAGTTTAATATAAAAAAGTTTCGTGAATCTTACCTGAAAGAATTAGTCTTTCTTTTTAGTTTCTTTGTAGTAAAGTGCTGCATCCACAAGCGAAGCAAACTGGCGTTGTAAAACAAGTAATGTGCGAGGGAAATATTAAGATTTTTGCTCAAAAACAACAGAAAACTTAAAATATCTTTATATTTACTATTATTTTAAATATATCTGTGCAAAAACCAGGGGGGTTAAGGATATCTTCGAAAGCTTAGGAACGCGGTTGGTCAGTGGCAATTACCATGAAAATAAAGTAAGTGTTGTCATGGAAATGGCGTAAGATCCGCCATGTTTTTGCGGACACTTTTTTATCCCGAGCAGGTCCTCCAGTAATATAGTATAGCTCAGTGGTTTCGGTGGGTGGTCGAAACTTAGTGACCGCGCCTTAAACTGCACGAAAACGAGGCTTATTATGCAAAAACAAATCATTCTGCTATATTTTATATGGCGAAAAATGAATTTCAGTGTTTGAGACGGGTTTTTATGGTAATCTCTTCATTTTTTTTAATATTTCTGTTTTGACTATGTAAATCTTTATCAAACTTGTTCATAGATTTAGTCTTACTTCAAATTTCATTGTTTTTCGCGGCGTGCGAGGCAATGTTTTGCTGTTTTTCGCCGTCCGATAAAAGAGAAAAGAGAAAGAATCAGGTATTTTCCGTATGTTTTATTAATACATTTCAAAGAATAACGCACTAGTCAATGTAAACCCCCGCACCCTCCCGGCCGGGG